GAAAGTTATTACGTGCAGACATTTAACAAAACCCAAATCATGGATAACACCGGAGTTAAAGCAGTCGAGCAACAATCTACGAAATTTGTACAAACTTACAAAAGAGAACGAGCAAGATATAAATCTGAAGCAAACGTATATTGAAAGAAAGAAGCAACATCGCAAACTGATCTCAATGGCCAAGCAGCAATATAACTGCAACGAAATTAAAACAGCTGATAATAAGACAAAAAAGATCTGGCAAATAGTCAACCAGGAGCTTGGACGTAAAAAGAACTCTGGAGTAATTTCACTTAAAAATGACAACGGTGGAGATATGGAACAGATTAGTGTGCCTGATGCTTTTGGGAAACATTTTTCAACCACAGTAGTAAGTAAGCTCCAACACCACTTCAAAGGATCCCCACTACCAGCAGCAGAAGCTAAAACTCAAGTAGGGCATTCAATGTTCTACACTGAGGTCACCGATGAAGAAGTGAAATTAATCATAACCAACCTTCCAAACAAACAATCGTGTGGTAGTGACGGTGTAACTACTCGTGTTATTAAAAGTGTTTTAAATGAAATTGCAGGTCCTCTCACAACTTTAATTAACATGTCTGTCTATCAAGGCAAATTTCCTAAATCCCTGAAGCTTGCGATAATAGTTCCCGTTCCAAAAAAGGGAGATCCTACTCAAGTTGATAATTACCGCCCCATAACATTGTTGTCAATCTTTTCTAAAATAATCGAAAGAGCGATTTATTCAAGAATTTTGGGATATGCTGAAAAATTCAACCTTATCCCAAGCTCGCAGCATGGATTTAGGAAACTTCATTCAATAGAGACAGCTACTTATGAGTTTGTATGTCAGATATATAAACAGCTCGATATGAATAAATGTATCGCGGGCATCTTTTTTGACCTATCGAAAGCTTTCGATACAATTGACATTGGACTTCTCGAGGAAAAATTATTTTACTTAGGTTTAAGAGGTTTTATATTAGATTGGGTAGTGTCTTTCCTGTCTGACAGGAAATTCAAAACAAAAGTTAACGGAATTACATCCGCAACGTACAGTATCGACATTGGAGTAGCGCAAGGCTCAGTTTTAGCACCCCTTGTATTCATTCTGTATATAAGTGATTTGCATCTCTCTGGATTTGTAACAAATTATGCGGATGATACATCAGTTCTTGTAAGTGGAACCTCACGCAATGACATTATTGCAAAAATAAATGGAGTAAAATGTGAAATGAAAGGGTGGTGCCAAGCAAATCGTTTGATTTTAAACCTCGAAAAGTCAGATGTTGTACATTTTTATACAAACGCCCCTATTCTAGCAAATCATGAGACATCGAAAACTACGACATTCTTGGGAATAGAAATGGATGCAAAGCTCAGTTGGCAACAACACATGGACAGTGTGTGTAAAAAGTTGAACCAATCATATTATGCGATTCTTAAGATCAAGTTTTGCTTATCAGAGTCAGCTTTACTAGATGTATATTATGCTCTCGTCCACTCACATTTATCAAGGAACATCATAATTTGGGGACAAGCAACTTCAATTTCTAGAGCATTTGTTCAACAGAAGAGAATAATCAGACTGATATTCAACATTCGTAGAAGAGAATCCTGCAGAGATATCTTCAGAAGTAAAAACATCATGACTCTACCAAGCATTCATATTTATAAGTGCGCCCTTTTCGCACATACAAACAAAACAAAATTTATACAGAACAGAAACATCAACACACATTATAATACAAGGGCAGGTGAGAGTCTGAGTATTCCAAAACACACACTGACGCTGTTCGAAAAGTCACCGGAATACACCTGCATCAAAATATATAACAAACTTTCAGCTAACCTCAGGAATGTCAGTAGTATTCCTAGTTTTAAATGTAAACTACGCAAATTATTAGTTGAAAAATGTTTCTATTCTTTGTCTGAATACCTCGCACTGTGATATATTTTTTTTTTTTAAACTTTTTTTATATGTGAATGTCTGTACGCATTAAGTTGTCCCTGTTTGTACTTTGTAAATACTTATGTTTGTTTCGTTTTTATTTTTAATTATGTGTACTATGTACCTCCCTCTTAGGACGAGTCTTATGTCATTTTTTATGATCTACAAGACAATAAATGTATCTATCTATCTATCTATCTGCGCAAAAATCCAATATGGCGTACCTAAGAAAAAATACTGATAATGTGATAATGCTGGAGGACAAGCGGTGAAAGATTTAATTGAAATTCTAATTATGCCATCTTGTAGAGGAGAAAAAGTGCCAATGTTAACATGAAATTCATTTTGGAATCCCTTCCCAAATAAAGTGAGGAAAAAATAAAAGTTATTTTGGGATAAATCTGGTAGGCGAAACAAATGACTGTCTGACAATTTCAAGGCTTACCTAGTAAATTCTGCTTTTTTGAAATAACTAAGATTTGGCAACATCAATGCATGATATATTATAATTTTTGGAATCAGAGTTAAGATCTCTATTCGTCTGTGCAATAAAGTTGATGATGTAGGACAAGAGATGAGACTTGATATTGAAATTCTAATTATGCCATTTTGTAGAGGATGTTGATATGTAATTTGAAATCCCACTACAAATAGAGTCAGGAAAAAGTTACAATGATTTTTGGAAAATTCGTGTTTTTCCGACTCTCTCCGGGAGTACTTTGAATTCCGAAACTTTCCTAGCGGCATTTTGTCAATCATCCAAATATGCAATTTTGTGTCCCCATTTAAGAGTCCTTGCATCTTTTACCGTTTCCGAGATCCCAATGGCGAAGGTCGAATTTGAAGCACCCTGTATATTATTAACATTAGAAACGGGATGAAAATCTGGATGTATTTGGCTTTTGTAAAGAATATGTGTTATTTGGTTGTACACTGGACGATTCAAAAATTCAAATTCAAATTCAAAATATTTATTTCGTCATGAATAAACATCATAAATAAAGGAAATTCTACATATAGAGCAATGACGAAGAAGGACAGTCTCTCGATTATAAAACCGATGCATTGGACCCTTTAATACAAAGAGTCCATGCGAGAAAGCCCTGAACACCCTAAAAGTCCTTAAACAAAATAAAAAAAACAATAAAGAGGCAAATGAAGAGGCGGTGAAACACAAAAAGGCAAAAACGAAGAAAGAACCGCCGGGAGCTGGCAACGGACGCGAAGAACAAATCTATACAACCTGTCAGCGAGTAGGAATGTAAAAACGATATTACGCAAACGCTGCTAAAATAGCTGGTGATTCTGTAACAACGTTTTTGTCAGTTTTGAGAATGTTTTTGACGATGAGCTTTTAACTGAAGTTCGTAAATTATTCCATAAGTGAACCGCCACATAGGCAAACGATCGTCGGAAGGAACGCGTTCTATGCCTAGGTACGATAAAATTGAGATTATTTCTGCTTCTCTGGGGACCAGGCAAAGACACAAATCTTTCTCTTAAATAGGGCGGTTGACCTATTTTTATAACCCTATAGATAAAAGAATACATGTGATATTTTCTGCGAGTCGTCATGTTTAATTTGTTGTAGTTATTCAGATAAGGAGTGATATGGTTTCGATATGGAATTCCAAACGCAAATTCTCATGCAACTATTTTGAACTTTTTGAATGCATTTTTTGGTTTGTGACGATAGCGAATCACCATAGACGACATCTCCATAGTCGAAAAGTGATAAAATTAAGGTATTACACAAATAATATTTTTTTTTTGGCTGATAAATGTTTTTTTAATTTGTTTATATTTTTTAGTCGCATGTAAGCTAAATTTGTTCTGTTTTTTATATGACTGCCGAAGCCAAGCGAGCTATCAAATGTAATGCCTAGATTTTTTGTCTCCTGAACAATGGGGATTCTGTCATTGTTAATAGAAATTACTAAATTTTGTTCAAAATGTTCTCTTTCATTACTGTTTTTATTCATAACCATTACTTGCGATTTTGAGGGGTTTAGTTTAAGATTGTGATGCTTTGCAAATCTGTGAATTCCTTGGAGATCCGAATTTAGTTGTTGTTGAGCAATTGTTTTATCTTTGCGAATTTTACCGATTTGACCATGTCAGATGTGTAGATTGAAAATAGCAAAGGAGATAAAATTGAACCTTGAGGAACTCCTCTTTCTATAGGTTTAAAATAGGTTTTGTAAATAGCAGAATCATTTGCTAACATAATACAGTTTGAATGGTTGCTTAAGTATGTTTTTATTAGATTTACCGAGATCTGCCAAAACCCCTGGTAATGTAGCTTAGCTAGTAACATTTCATGATTCAGAGGGTCGAACGCTTTACTAAAATCGAGAAGCATAATGCACGTACTATTTTTTTGTTCATGATGATGTCTGATATCATCCAAGATATTAACTAATGATGTTCTCGTGCTAAAGTTTTTCCTAAAACCGGTTTTTTGGATGTTATGTAACATGTACATCACGGTTTGTCTGTTTGGTGGTCTTTTTGTCCACTAACCCTTTGCTGCTTCAGAAGCCGCAAATTTTGGTACAACGTGACTACTATTCTAAGGATGGAAAGGCTCTGTGGACTTTAAAAATCGAATCAGTGGCGGTGCGGCAATGGGCAATTAAGGAAATAAAATTAAAATCTCGTTTTTGACGTTTTGGGGACTCCTGCTAATTCTTAGAGATTTTCTTAGTGGGGTGGAATACGAGAGTTGTAGGAGGTAGAGTGTTGTGAAATACGTTCTGTTATCAAGAAACTTCCGATCCTATCAATATTAAGCACCTGTTGTTCGGCATATTTTCGTATTTACAATTATGGTGAAGGTGTAAGCAAAAAATCAATTCAGTTCAATTTAGGTCTTGGACTATTATGAAGTTCTATTAGCACCATAGAATTTTTTAATTTTTGTTTTGTCAAAAATGTTCTATAATTTGGTGGGTTGTTACTAATGTGTCCATAATAAGTAACAGGATTATTATAAGATTAGGTCATCTATTAAAATGAGTATTCTTCAAACGATATTTTCTTACTTCAGTCGTGCATCGTGGGTCAGCTGGCCTCTGGCCTTCCTGTTTCAAGGTATCACAGAAGAAGGTTCTTCTAGCGATGTGCCGATCAGGTGAGTGAGTCACCGCTGTACATTATTACCTGTATTTAGTTTATTGCGATTAGGCATTTTTGATTGCTACTCATAACATAATAAATGTCAAAAACAAATCAGTCGTTCATCATCTGCTCAGAGAGCCAAGCAGCTATTGAGGAGTTAAATTCTGGGCAAAAATTGTCCAAATTGTTAGGAGTATACGTGAACATTCCAAAAGAACTGAGGCATCAAAACAAAAACCAGAAAATGGGAAGTCGGATCAGCTAGCTCGAAAAGGTGCAGCTGTCTGACCAACTGAAATATATGGATATACCTATCCTGATTCTTTAAGTGGTACTTTGTACCCTCTCACTAAGGGCCCTATCGTCAGACGTTCCCACAATTGTAGGACGCCTTTATGGCCTAATTGATTTCCATAGTCTTTTCTAACCCTCAGAAAGCCTGGGATATTTCTAGATTTATACTGTTTCGAGTTAGCGCCAGCGCTTTCCTATTGTGATGCTGTTTTCTTTTTGAATCGTAGGAAATTTCAGGCTATACAGGATGGCGCATCGAAAACGAAACAGACGCATTTACTGGCAGCTCTTTTTTTAGAAAAACGCTCAGACCAGTCGATTTTGTTTTCTAGGGGGACACAAGTTTGGCAAAAAATTACGTTAACACGTGCAGCCCCCTGGGCGGGGGTGACACCAACCCTAAAATCTTAAATGAAAAGGGGGGTCGAGTGATACCTTATTTTAAAGGTCTTTCAATTCCCTTTATAATGATGTAAAATACATGAGCTTCAGTTCAGTAGTTTGAAGATTTATTGATTTAAAGCTTAAAATAGACTTTAATAGGTGCATCAGATTAGTTTGTACTACTTTCAGAAGAAATTTGAGTAAAAGAATTTACTTAATAAGTAAATGCTTTTCTTCACTACGACCGTGGTTTGTTTATCATTTTGTTGTTGAAAATAGCTATTGGAGCGTTTTTTGCGGTAAAAAAGTTATTTCTTGAAGAAAGATAAGGAAATATCTCGTACTTATTTTAAATAGGAATTTAGTACATAGTTTGCGATTGATTTGACCAAACTTTGTTGCTAAAATAACTTGTAACGCTTTATTACATAAATTAACCATGGTATATTCCACAGCAGAAAGAGAGCAATATGTTCTAGAACTTGTAGCTAAATTTCGGGAAACTTTGTCAGTTGCCAATAAAAAACGCAACATTGAAAATCTCATAAGGAACGAAGCAATAGAAGTGGTGGTTCTAGGGCAAGTTTATGTAGATCCTACGTTAAGTACCCGCAAAGTGGAGACTGTGTGTGGTGATAGTCGACGTACTGACCAACGAATTCTGAAGGCCCATAGTTTTCATCCGTATAAAATTCACCTGGTACAAGAACTTAATGTAGACGATTTTGATCGGCGATTACAATTTTGTGAAGATATGAGTGAACGAATTATAAACGACGAACATTTTCTATTCAACACTTGCTTTTCCGACGAATGTTCCTTTTTCTTAAATGAAGTTAGTAAATCGTTATAAATGCCGATATTGGTCCGTTTCTAATCCCAGAATTTATCATGAGGTTCATACACAGCAGCCACAAAAATTAAATGTTCCGTCTGGTATTTTTGGCGATCATTTAGTTGGTCCTTTTTTCTTACCTGGAAATTTGACCGGTGAAATGTATTTGGCATTACTGCAAGAAGCCATAGATCCTGCATTAACAGCCATAATTGAAAATCAGAATGATCGGCGGTACATTGCGAATAGGTTGATGTTACGCATTACGTGTTCGACAATATTTAGATCAGACGTTTCCAGATCGATGGATTGGTAGAAGAGGTGCCATTAAATGGCCCCCAAGATCGCCAGATTTATCACCTTTGGATTTATTTATGTGGGGTCATTTAAAAAGCAAAATCTATGCTACTCAGCCAACATCATTAGAAGACCTGCGACAAAAAATTGTGAATGAGTGCCTTCAAATAACTCCTCAAATATTGCAAACTGTGCCGCAACGATTTGAGCAAAATCTTTATTATTGCATGGAGAGTCATGGTGGCCATTTTCAACATTTACTTGCCTAACGGGTCAGTTCATTCTTCATTTTTAAATTACTTTGCTGCCAAATGTATTGATCTCCACTAATGATGATGTATTAGTTTTATTTAAGCTTTAAATCAATAAATCTTCAAAACTACTGAACTGAAGTACATTAATTTTATATCATTATAAAGGGGATTGAAAGAACTTTAAAATAAGGTATCACACGACCCCCCTTTCCATTTAAGATTGTTTGGGTGGTGTCACCCCCGCTTAGGGGGCTGCACGTGCTAACGTGATTTTTTGCCAAACTTGTGTCCTCCTCGAAAACAAAATCGACGGTTCTGAGCGTTTTTCTAAAAAAACTGAGCTGCCAGTAAATGCGTCTGTTTCATTTTCGATGCGCCACCCTGTATACTGATAACATACTCGTAAATCAAAAGCTTGAACAATTTGATGCAAATGGATATTTGTAACATCAAAATAGCGCTGACACGGAACAGTAGAAAACTACGAAAATCAAGGAGGCCACAAAGGTATCCTACAATAATTGTAGGAACGACTGACGATACGGCTCTAAGGCTTATTGTTATAGAGAGAAATCCAAATATCACTGACGAGGTAACGTATATGAGAGATAAGCGCGAGAAGGGCTTAACACGTATGTTATAAAAAGTGAGCCGATGACTACGCGGTAAGCCACAGCTGCGTCCGTGGCCTCGTCATTCGGGTTGCTAGGCAACGTGGTGCTTCTATCTCTTTCTTACATACGTATTGTACGCTTCTCGTACACATTACAACGTCACTTGTATATGGATTTCTCTGTATATCTTGACCTCTTTATTACGTTGAGTTTCCTTTTGTGTTTATGGTTCACTTATTTGAAACTCTATCACTTTTCTTTTTTTCCGTTATTTACCTTTGCTTCACTAAAAGATAAATTAGGTATAATATTTAATAAGCCTTTACTTAAATATAAACTTCGACATTCATAAGTAATATTCGCAATTAGATATTTTGTATATCTTTCTTTTATTCTTTAAGTTGTCCTGAACTTGAAAGTATATTCTGTTACATGTGAAGTTTTTAATTAAATTAAATTTCTAATCGATTATTGAATAATGGCTTATAGATTCCGCCATTTGGACACCAAAGTGCACCTGAAGCCGAACGAAAGGGCGACCAATGGAGGCAATGGAGGGAGCAACTCACCATCACCAGAGGGTGAAAGCTGCAAATCGCCAAGAAGGACTCCATCCCCTTCTCACGAGCGGAAACACTAAATGGTTGAATTTATACTTAAAAATGGGACATGATAAACGTGAAATACCATTATCTAACTATCTATTAAACAGGACCGGTTTTAATAATAACTTCTTTAACAAATTAACAAGGATGGCTACCGAACCGATAAACAGGTTTTCTTGTATAACAGCCACACATAGAAGTAAGCTACCTTTCCAACAAAAAATATAAATCAAATAGAATCTTATATATATATATATATATATATATATATATATACTATAATCGTGGATGCAGTTCATTTCACGGTTTCTGCGGATCACACTAAAACTACTCGCATCACTCACTTTTATACAACGATCTCCCTCATACATACATATTATGTACTCTGCTTAGACCCGCCAACGTTTGTTTGTGTAAGCACCTTGAAAAATATCTGGTCAACGTATGAGTATTTCTAATTTATGGCTGTCACTATGACAAACCCACTTGATTTTGGCGTATCATTTTGAAATGCCCTTTTAATAACCTTCGTAATGTACACCTAACGGACAATATATCAATAGTTTTTGCTATATCAGTTCCTCTTCATCAATCATTTCACGAGTTCAAGAGAAGCTGCGTTTAGGATTGGATTGCCCAGTGTTCGATTTTCCGATGGAGCTTTAACCCCGCACATGGTTCAGTCAGTCGATTTTTTACTAATTACAGTTATCATTGACCGCCAAAAACCGTGAACAGGCCTATACCTCTGTGACTTACGTAGGTAAATTTGATTACTACAGGGATCTGCAACTATATCCTTTTTTAATAAAATTTGTAATACCTTTGTGGATTTCAACAGATACTATTACAAAAATTTCATTTATTTTATTGAACATTTGATCTTTTGAACAATGGTATACACGTTTTTTATGCCTTCTGTTACCCTCCCTTCATGTCTCACGGCTCTCGAATACTAAATATATATACTATACGCATTTGACTATGGGTTATAGGTTAATAGGTTTATGTGGTCTATGGTATAAATAAAATATATGTGTTGAATATTTTTTCTAGTTTTCATTTCCCTTCCCATTGTAAAGTAAAATGAATCACTACTAACTTCTTACGGTACCTTTTTAACGGTAGTGCCAAGTCGTTTTTAGTCTTCGGCTACAATTCTACCGCAAAATGTTTAATATATACAGTTTTATAATCGCACAAGTTCAGATCACGTCTACCGTACCGCATCTATCTACTCTCACCACAAGTAATTTTGCTAGGAAATTATTGCAAACCTGAAATATGGTAGAAACGGATTATATTATTGATTTGCTCTCTATTGTTTATATAATAATACAAACTATTTATTTACTTCCTACGCCACTGGCAAAGAATATTGCAATCGTCAGAAAATTCGAAAATGAACTATGTTTTTTGGATGTTATATGGCATGTACAGGGAGGCAAACTAAGAATACGAGGTACTGTATCTGGGAAGCTATCCGTCGCAGAGGCTTGCGATAAAAAAAATCTTACTAAAACGGTCAAGAGAAAAACCTGAAAAATATTTTAAAGTTTCTGAAATGGCCGCTAGGGGTCGTAACTGCAATCATGAATATAAAAAAGTGATGTTTCTGTGAATTCCGCTGTATTACCCTAACAAAAAGATACCTGATCTTTGAAGCCGAGGATAATGTGAACTTTTTTGTTTGACCCTATTTGCTCTATCCCTAAAAATAAAGCGGTGGGGGGTATTCAAAGGTTTCCGTAAAAATCACCCTGTATCTTCGAAACGACTGAGCTGATTCTAACAAACTTGGGCTAGTTAAGAAGAGCTATTATTACGCTACAAATGTTATGTTTGTGTGGCCGCTAGAGGGCTTTTTTCGACATTCCGACAGAAATGGTTAATTTTCTAAAAAAAATTATATGCTATGTTTTTTTTCATGAAAAAGTAATGTCTGAACAAGCTCGCGGAAACCGCATCGCGATATCTTGTTCTTAATATGCATTATTGGTCAGCAGAAAAATCCTCATTGGTTGCGTGAAGTTCAGCATCTAGGGCGTGGGAGTTTAAATGTGTGATGTGGCATACAGGGAGGCAGAACTATTGGACCATATTTTTTCCCTAAATGGCAATATCTTGAGTTTTTGGACCATCAATAACCGTTGTTGTTGGAAGATCTGCCACTGGAAACACGGCAAAACTTGTTTTTGCAGTTGGATGGTTACCCAGCATATTTTGCTGTTATTGTGCGACAGCATATTAATGCATTATTTCAACAGCGGTGCATTGGAAGAGGAAGTCTGTTTCCATGGCCTTCACGATCACCAGCTTAGCTTATCTTGACTTTTATTTATAAGAAATGTTAAAGGACATAGTGCTTCAGACTCAACCTACAACTACAGAAGATATGAAAAACCGTATTCGTAATGGATACGTAACATACCAAGAGACGAAATTGAGGCTGCAGTTTTGTCTACCCATGAAAAGCTTCAGGAATGCTGAACGACACGGTTCCCATTCTCTCATACGAGTTTCACCCACCTGAACTGAGCGATGATGCGCGCATGTGTATGAAGCATCGCGCTCGGTTTGCGACCACAGAACATATACACTGAAGAAGGTTTAATTCCATGCTATTTAATGGCAACACGGTGACTTGTATGGTTTTCAGCGGCCATTTTTTGAGGGTGCGACATTGTTGCCAGATTGTGCATTAATATCCCGCAACGTTGCCAGCTCTACATATAAATCTGAGATTGCTATACTTATATATATATATATATATATATATACATACATTGTATACAATATACAGGGTGTTCCATAATTATTCCGACAAAATGATAGGGGTTGTAGAGGGCATCAAAATGAACAATTTTTCCTTATAAACCCCTGTTCGGAAATATGCCGTTTGGGCTGCAGCAAAAAAAAAGATCAGTTTCTTGAAACAGCTTACCTACAGTAATTGCTCAAAGTGTCCTCCACCTTGCTCAATACACAGCTGTGCACGATTGTTCAATGATCGGCGAACTCTGTGGCATACCCCCGGTATGTCCTGAACATGTACGGACGCGGCCATCACTCTTCCCAGTAGCTCTTGTTGGTTGGGAACAGGAGTTTCGTACACTAAAGCTTTCAGATAGCTCCAGATAAAATAATCCAGTGGGGTCAGGTCAAGTGACCGCGCAGGCCAAGGCACAGGGCTACCTCGGCCTATCCACCTATTTGGAAATTTGTCGTCCAAATACTGCCGCACTTGTAAAGAAAAGTGGGCTGGACCGCCATGGTGTTGAAACCACATGTTGGCTCTTATATTCAGTGGCACATTTTCTAATAGTTCCGGTAGCACATGCTGTAAGGATCGACCATAAGCATGCCCATCCAAACGTGGTGGAAGCAGATATGGCCCGATGATATGCTCGTCCACAATGCCGCACCAGATGTTAATTGAAAACTGATGTTGGTCTCTATGGATGGCTATGGCATGAGGGTTTTCTTCATCCCAAATGTGACTGTTACGGCTATTAAAATAACCGTCCTTTGTAAAACAGGACTCGTCAGTGAACAAAACGTAGCGACCAAAGTTTGGTTGCCTCAACTCCTGCTGCAGCCACCAACGACAAAAACGTCGACGCGGCAGATAGTCTGCTGGACCCATGACTTGGACTTTTAAAAGGTGTACGATAACAAAAATGTAAACACAGCAGGCTTTTTTTTACAAACCGGCGAGACCATGAAATGTGCTAGACGAACATTTTGCAGCTGGTGAATTTTTTGTTTCTCCTATGAGCTCTTAAGGTAAAATTAACTGTAGTGCTCAAACGGCATATTTACGAACAGGGGTTTATAAGGCAAAATTGCATATTTTTATGCCCTCCAGAACCCCTATCATTTTGTCGCAATAATTATGGAACACCCTGTATATATATATATATATATATATATATATATATATATATATATAAATTTGGTGGGATATGGGAGATCTTATAACAGCATGTGTTATTAACATTTTGCGCTATCTTGTCGAATAAATGCTTTTTTTGTATGTTAAAATAGTAACATCAATAACACAAGCTGTTATAAGATCACTCATATCTACTTACTAATCTGAAAAGGTTCAGAAGAAAAACATATACTGCAAATACCTAAATATATATTTGTTATATAAATCTCATACATTTTTCTACAAATAAATCAGTATTAACATCATTATGGTCCAGATGTTTGCATTCCCCAGCCTTTGTTGGCACCTGGATAAATCAAAAATTAGAAATACATGGAATTGTGTTGATATGTTTCTACAATTCACAATTTCTTTTTTTATTAGACCAATAACATGATTGTCCACGGGTACCCACAGGAATTTTTCTCAGATGTGCTGATCATCATCAAGAGATAACTGTTATCACAGCCCCCCTGAGGGCACCCATGTTATTGTTCAATAACAATACTTGGCTTTGATTTTATTAAAATTCTAGTGAGGCTTACATATCAACCCTACTGCTCTGACAATAGCTGATTTAAAACGAAGTATGAAAACTAACTTGGACAAAAAGAAGTACAAATCATCATTAGTTACTGAGTCATATAAAAACTTACAAATGTTGTGTTCTGCAAATATCCTTCAGAGCTGAGCCTTTTGGTTAGATCAGATGTAATCTCTAAGCTTCTGATAATTATCAGGACCTCAGGGGTTGACAACGGCACCTGTTGAACTTTTCGTGGTGCTCCACTGTTCAAAGAGTGATGTGGAGATACCAACAGGTACGATCTTCAAATATTACATGTTATACATGTTCATGGCCAAATTTTTACTAAGAGGGACTAACTTGTGCCGAATATAATTATTATTTATCAATCGATGACACCGTTCGATAGAAAGTGAACCAATCTATGTGACGCAATCTTTTTAACCCAGATGTGCCCAATGGTCTATATGTAGTACATCTCAAACTTGTCAATTCTTGTCAAAAGGGGTCTGTAAAAATCTATTCATTCATTCGCTTCGTTTAGTATAACGTTGTTCGGCTTAGGGTACGGTTGTTAGTTGTCGTTTTCTGACAGACTATTAGTGTACTTTGAAGTCCAAGTACTACATTTCGACGAAATGGCTGCACACGGCGACAGGTTTGCAAGGTAAGCTGTATTTTGATGATTTGCATTGAATGGAGCATATAAAGTCGTCAGAAGGAATATATGCTTAAGGCAATGAATAATATTGCCTAGCTTTTTCACAGTTTAGGAAAAAATCTATCTGTCCTATATAAAGTACATTGGCAAACATACTACTGCCACTTTTTCTAAATTACCCTCAGTTTTTAGGGGTATATACATCTATAAAATAACTGTTTACAAATATATTTGTTACAGAGGGTTTTCATTACATGAAGCTCTGGCTATGATCGAAGATGACAAAATGCAAGCCGATCATCACACTGTTTTGACCAACAATGCTTCCGAAAATCTGGCAGATCTAAATTCGGCGAAGAATACAATGTATATATAAATAACTTGCCGCCGTTCCAAATGCAGAGTAAAAATGTGAGACTCAGAAGACGATATACCCCTGAGTCAATTGACAGAGGCAATCAAAGGAACATGCAATCAGGCAAAGAAAGAGAAACGTTATAACTATGTGAAAGAGCATTTAGAGTGTTAGTACTTATCATGTTATTTGGTTAGTTTTTGGGTACTTTTAGGCCGTCGAAAAATATTTTTACTTGACGTTTCGCCAACACTAGTGGTTGGCATCTTCTCCAAGTAGAGCAGCCACATGTGGTCCAATTATATAATAGGAACATGGGAGGTGTTGACCTTTCTGACCAACATATAAACCTCTATCGTACCGTCATAAGAGGAAAAAAGTGGTATTTTCCTCTTATAACTCACATCATATATCAGGCAGTGCAGAATTCCTGGCAAATTCATAAAAAATGAGGCGGAACAATGGACCACTTAACTTTTAGAAGAGCCATTGCAAATTTTATGCTGGTTAAAAATAAAAAAGAATGTGTGTATCAGATGAGACACAGATCTCAATTCCAAAAT